TATGTTCGGGCGGGACTCGGGAGTACCGAAGTGTTCGTTCGTGTCTGGGATGAGTTCTGAATAGAAGACTGGACACACACGCTATTCCCCTCTCAGTGTGTTGCTCTTTCTCCACTCACAACCGCCTATTTGGTAACACAGATTTACCTCACACAGCAGTGTTTTAACTAGCTAGCTAATTAGCTTGTTTACACATTTGAAGTTATGTGTACCACCGCCAATGAACCAATCAGAGTAGTCCTACAGGTCCACTTTTTCTTCAAACGAACCGCCCCTCATAAAATCCTGGCTACGCCTATGCGTTATGCGAAGCATCACACTGAAAAAATTAGTCCACGCCCACCTGCTGTGTGGGCCCCACCCGATCCGTATAAGTTACATTAAGAGCGGGTAATCGGCTCCCATTTTTCTTCAGCAAGCTAATAACACTGACCTTCAGCAAGATGTCCAGCTCCAACACCATCCGCTTGTGTCCTTCCTGCAAGACCGGTTACTTGCTCAGCTTTGACCGGCACGACACCTGTGAGGGATGCCTGGGTCCCCGCCACGTCGCCCGCGCTTCCTTCTGCCGCCTCTGTGACGATCTTCCACCGGAGGAAAGGCAGAGGAGAGCAGCCCTGTTTAAGGCTACCATCGAGGACTGCCTGTCCGTGGCGGGAGACTGTTCGCTGGACGACGCCATGGATTTCTTCTACGCCGGCTCTCGGAGCGAATCGGATGATTCCTCTGGGACTGGTGACGTTAGCAGCAGCCCCGATGCTCGTTCCCTCCCGGGGAGCGCAGTGTTGGAACGAGGGGGGCCGAACGGATGCTCGACCCCTCCGGGGTTTCCCGCCTCAACGGCCACATCGCTCCCTGCCGTCGGCGCACTCCTCTCGGAGCTGCCCGTCATTATCCGGGAAGCTGCTAACGTGAAGGAAGCTGCTAACGTGAAGGGACTTTCCATTCCCTTACCCCCCCACCCACCCCCCGCCCAGATTGGATGATCTTGCTGGAAGGTTTGGCTCCACGCCGGCTCGCCATCCTGATCCCATCTGGCCTCGTTTTCCAGCGGTGACGTTGTATTGGAACGAGGCCGCAGCCAGTCCTGGTAAGCTGAGAGCGCCCGTCTCCACTTTTGTTCCCATCAACAGAGTGGAGGGGTTCACCGAGCGGGAGCTATCCCTCAGTACCCCCCCTTGAGCCAAGCCTCGCGGAAGCTTTTGGAGTGAAGCTTGTCCAGGTTGGAGCAGCGTCCCGTCCCTCCTGGGAAACATGACCAGACGGTGACCGCACTCTCCAATCGAGCCCATCAATGTGCTTTTCAGGCAGCCGCAGCTAGCAACAACGTGGCGCTGCTAGCATATAGCATGTCCAAGAGGTTGGAGGCCGCAGATCTGCCTGAGGAGACCAAGAGCTCCCTCTGTAAGGCAGCAGACGCCATCCTCAACATGTGTGCCTCTTCTACGGTTTGCCTGTCCAGGATTGCAGTGTGGATGACGATGATTCAACGATCCACCTGGCTTCGTCACTCCCCCTCGCTGCCGGAGAAACTGTACAAAGACCTGATGGAGGGCCCCATCACGGCGGACGCGCTGTTCGGGAGCAGCTTCAAAACCATGCTGGCGAATTCGAAGCAGTCGGAGGAGGTGTCAGAGGCTGTGCGCCACCTCATCAAGCCGCGCGGCTCATCCCACCCCCCGGCCCGCTGGAGGGACCGTTGCGAGCAGAGGCAGAAACAACGACGTTCCACGGCCGCCGCGGCATCGTCTCGCTCAGCTCCACCACCAGCCCCACCCGTCAAAGACCAGCCCTCTTCATCCCGGCAACCTGCAGTTCAGCGTTTCCCCAGAGATCGCCTGCAGACAGCGCTCGGGGCAAACAAATCGCAGAGCTCACGGGGGAGAAGATTTAAAAAATGACGGTCTGCGGAAGGTGTGTGTAAAAATGACACGGAAGTTGAAATAAATAATTCTTCAATGATCAAAGTGTCTGTTTCTAGCCAGTCTGTAAGCTCGGATGAACTCACAGCGGCTGCGCACACATCCTCCACACATAACGAGCCGGTGTCCTTAAATAAAGGTTTTTTAAACTCATCGTCACTCCAAGACATTTTGAGACGCTCACACGACACAATGGTAAGTGAAATAACTCGTTGTCAATCCGAGCTGCACGATCCTCACCCAAGCGGTGTCAAACGCGCACTCGTGCGATGCAAACAGCCTCCATCCAAACGGCGCTGCATTGATGATGGCGCACACACAGCTGCCCGGCGCTCACCGGCTCACATCGGTATAAATGTGGGACCGCAGGCCGGGTCCGGTGGAGGTCCTCGCTTTCAGCAAGAGCAACACATGCCTCACCGGAGCAAACGCGGGCAGCCGTCACCCACCGCGTCTCAGCGCTCGGCAGCTCACGGCAGCATAAGCGTGAGACAGCTGAACGAACCCGGTGACGAGTCTCGCCTCCAGCGAGAGCGGCGCGCGCCCCTCCAGCGAGAGCGGCGCGCGTCCCTCTAGAGAAAATGTGTGCTCCCGCGGGGCTCGCAGCCTTCACTCCAACAGCACGGCGTAGATGAAGTCACGCTCTCCGCCTCTCAATGTTCGCACAGCGACGTCGAACGCGCAGCCCCACGGCGTCATCAGCTGTCACATGCTTCGCCTCAGCACACACCGGCCCACCCAGACATGAAGGTTGGTCCGCGGTCCGAACGCAGCGCACGGGCGCGTTCAGAGCCCTTTCGAGGAAGCCTCGCCTTGGGTCACGCGGAAAACATTCCCGCGACGCATGACGGCGGTCGAGGCGGCGGATTGGATGACATCCGTTCAAAACATGACGCATCACTTAAACGCACGTCCACTCCACGAACGGTACGCGGAGTGGCTAAAAACATGCTCGCTGGACAGATGGATGGACAGGGTGTTATGCAAAGGTTACACGCTGCAATTTGCAACCCGACCCCCTCCGTTCAGAGGAGTTTTAGAGACGGTCCTGTCATCACCAGACCAAATCTCATCCCTAAATGCAGAAGTCCAAGAACTTCTGATAAAAGACGTAATCTCCAGAGTTCCCAACGGAGAGGAAAACACAGGGTTTTACTCACGTTACTTCCTGGTTCCCAAACGGACCTGAGGGATGAGACCGATTTTGGATCTGTCAGCTTTCAACAAGGTGATCATGGACAGACCGTTTCACATGTTGACAACCAGACAGCTGTTGGACAACATCCAGAGAAACGACTGGTTTGTTTCCATCGAGCTAAAAGATGCTTATTTTCACATACCGATCATCCCAAAACACAGAAAATTCCTGTGTTTCTCCTTTCAGGGGATGAAGTATCAGTACAACAGGCTGCCGTTCGGGTATTCCCTCACGCCTCGTACGTTCTCAAAGTGTGTGGAGACAGCCCTGCATCCATTACACAGAGCAGGGATGAGAGTTTTGTTTTACCTGGATGACCTGCTGCTGCTGTCACACTCCAGACAGTGATGCAGGCTCAGGTGTTGACATCACACTTGTTAAATCTGGGCTTCGCCATAAATTGGAAGAAAAGCTCTATTTTCCCGGCCCAGACAATTGTTTATCTGGGAGTGGAGTTAAATTCAACCACCATGAAGGCTTGTTTCTCACAAACGAGAATCGAGACTTTAAAAAAATCAACTCTGCCACGTAAGATCCGGCAGAGTGGCAACAGCTGTCTCCATCATGAAGCTGTTAGGAATGATGTCATCAGCTCACACAGTGGTTCCGCTGGGTTTGTTACACATGAGAAGCCTCCAGAGATGGTTTGCTCGTCTGCGCGTGGATCCAGTAAAACAAAAGAGACGGATGATCACTGTTCCTCCCTCCGTGAGGGCAGACCTCCGACACTGGGGAAACACCCTGTTTCTGTCGGAGGGAGTTCCCATCAGCAGACACACGTCACACGTGTCAGTCTTCACGGACGCGTCGCTGTCAGGCTGGGGGGGGACATGCCTATCTCAAGCAGTAGGGACGCTGTGGCCCCATCACACATCAGCCCACATAAATGTTTTGGAGTGTCGCACGGTGCTGAATGTGATTAAACACTTTGCTCCCGTGCTACAGAATCAACATGTGCTGATTCACACAGACAACAAGGTGACTGCTGCATACATAAACCGACAGGGGTGTGTG